CTAGTCGAGATTTGTCTAAAAGCCAATGCTTTGTCCCAGTTTCTATTAACCACGGATTTTTGTACAACAGAAGCACTTCTCAGCACGTTAAATTTGAACATTGCAGATGTTCCTCTTTTGATGTCTGTGGGTTCTAATATTAACCCGGAAATTTTACAAAAATATGGTCTTAGTTATCATTAGATTTTTTTACGAATTAATTTATTTATTGTATATAATAATTATAGTGATAATAAATGTGTTTTTTTTTATTTTATTCAACACGTTACATGCCCTTTACATTTTTAAAAAGATGCTTCTACTTTCCATGGTAAAAACAACATGTGTTGATCCCAAATTCTCATATAAAACACGTTCCAATAATATAATATAATATAGACCTATTTGCATGATTTTTGGACCTATAATAGGCATCCGAAAAGGTAGTATGCCGATCTAGATATAACGAATAACTTACAGATAAATTCAAGTCTCTATTACCTAGTTCTTTCATAAATTAAATTGATTCACAAAAAATGTTTCTAAAGGTACGTTAACATCTAACATTTATTGCATGAGATTTATGTCTGACAGTTGTTCAGTCCAGTGTAAACACACAAAAATTTCTCTCGGAGATATATTTATGTTTGAGTGTTTTCACTGGACTGAACAACTGTCAGACATAATTCTCATGCAATAAATGTCAGATGTAAACGTACCATAATGTAGGCCTTGAAAAAAATTTCATATGTCGGAGAGTTCAATTCTTAATCTTTTTATAATTGGCAGTTTCGATTTAATTCAGAGGCATGTAGTTATCACGACATGATTCACATTTAAGAGGAAAATTTACATTACAAACTGAAAGACCTGCGGTGCAATGGTAGTTTAGTAGGTATAAAAATTACAGCTTAAGGGTGGAGCCTAAATACTACAAAATTACTTCCGAGACCAAACAAAATCAGCATTCATTCATAATTTTAACAATTGCATGTAGATACGAGGGATGCATATTTTAAACTTTAACGCGCGAAGTTGAGACAAAGGAACCGAAAAATATTCCACAATAGCACAAAATAAAATTATGTATTTTACAATATAAGTATGGTGTAGATTAAAACTTATTTTGGCTGTCGACAAATTTGGTTAAAAAATCTTCTTTTAGAAATATACTTTTCATTTGACGAAAAACGAAGGCCTAAACGAAAAAAAAATATTCTTCATAAAAGTTTCGCCTGTGTATTGACAAGGTAAGAGTGCTTTTCTTATATTTTTTGCTATTAAATTAACAAAAATATAGCAATAAACAATTACTGATGTCATGGTTTTACAGGAAAGGAAGCAGTCTCTTGACTGTATGCGTCTCTCTCAAGGATGAAATGTATGCAATCTGTTTGACTCTCTTACATTATTTTATATAAGTATTATTGATTTATCTGCTACGAAGGCGAATAATGTTTTATAGGGTGTATTACTTCATGATTTTTTTTTTTTGAGTAAAAAAAAATAAGATATAAACTATTTTGGAAGGTATAAGCACAGTATATATAAGTATAGATTATAAACAGTAAGGCTATTGCTTTGCAGAATACAATAAATTATTAATAAAAAATTCAATAATAAGTATATAAAGCATAAATTAATAATATTAAAATATATAAGTACACAGACTCAAACTAATCAGAATCAGATTCACCACATTAATCTACATTTTCCAAAACATTAGCGGCTATGATCAAACTATTTCTGCAGTTTTTCTGTGCCATACAGGTGCATTAACCGATGTAGCCAATATTTTTTTCTGCATTTGCAAATTTTGCTTCCATAGTCTAGAATAGAATAATATTGTACATGCATGAAAATTATCGGTGTATAGTATCTTTTTTGCATTTGCATGATAAGTTCTGTTATTTCTGGTAGCAGGTCGAGCATAATCTTAAGAGTGGGTATCAGGCTTCAATCTTGATCTACTTTCCATTCATACTCTTCATTAGGAAGCTGCATCTGGGTCTTTAGAGAGCTTAGCCAAATACTTAGCTGGTAAAAACATCTTAAACAATGTAATCTTAGGGCGTCTTCAGTCAATGGCAATTTAGCAATTATTTTAAAGATGCCATTAATCCCCTCAAAATGTTAATGGAAGTAACAATGGCAGTTTTTGAACACAGTTTTATGAAAAATTTTTCAAGATTAGAGAATGTGTTTTCAGAGTACCTACGAATCAGTGCCAAATCCATCCAAAAGGTGATGGTGTTCAAGGTAGGTTTTCCAACAGGTTCTTTTTCCAATGCCAGACAATTGGTTAGTCTTATTACGACCTGTCACAGAATGAAAAGAAGGCAAATTTTTTAGAAGTTTTTTATTCAAATTTAAATCATGTACTGCTATAAATCGTCACGAGTCTCCTCGCCCTATTATGAACCATATCTTTTTAGTTCAAAACTACTTAAAATAAATTAATAAGACTAGAACATCTGTATCGTTGCAATCAATAATGCAGCGTCAATTCCCCGAATTTCTGACTGATAATATGTGCAAGATACGAGTATCAGCTTCTTCATGATTTAAATTTAAGAAATCGTCTTTTGTTGTTTCAAAATTCATCCCATATTTATTGATACTCGCGAATCCATCACTAGATACAAATTTTCAAGAAGTTGCTCTGACAGAAAATGTGTTATATGTCTTTTATTCAATATCGAATGAATGAACAAGTTTCATTATTCTGGAAGTGGAATATTGGGTCTGTCAATTTCTATATCAATTGATTTCTGGGATCATCTCTTTTGACGTGTTGTATTTTTGATAGAATTTTCTCTATAATGATTAAATACTACATCTATCCTTTGAGCATTAAATTTATTTTTAAAAATAATCTTTACAAATATATTAGCATATTCTTTAAATGATATGCAACTTTTGGATTTTCCCAAACCTTCAGCGATTGCTATCCCATCAAAAATGTGACAAGTTTTGCAAGATCACTTAGGTGAAGGTAAGTCTTTGTGGGTCATATTGCTCTAAAATATTTCCCAATAAACTCTTATTTGTAGAGGTGCCGAGATACCCATTTACTGTTAGAGACATGGGAGAGGCTGTCAGATCAAACTTAAATATTTCGGCATAATTACCTAATGCTTCTGTCCATATCATTTGCTAATAAAATATTGTGTAGAAACTGTTGATCATGCAAAGATTAAGAAGTCACATTTTGATATCATTTGTGCCTTTGCTTCTTGCAACAACAAATCTGTAATTAAAATGTTTAACGAAAACTTACCCAAATATATTCAGGCATTCAGCTATACCAGGATGAATGTAGATGTAATAAAAACCTAAAAAATGTCTATATTTCTTCCCAATTTATTAGGAACTTTAATATGTAACACACTTATTAATTTTTTTAGTAAAAACAGACAATATGACACTTTGTCCACTGGCACCTAACGAGCCGTTTTATAATAAAAAAATGAAAAAATCTTAGCACATCAATAATGTGATGCATCAGCCGACACGTAGAGAGAAACAGAGCTACGTTTTTCATAAGGGCCTTCCTTTTTGTTAAATGATAAAATTATATTTAAAGAAATGACTTTTTAAACAAATTTTTGAAGGGCTGAATTTTTTTTTAAATATGTATAAAAAATTACTCCTTACAAAGATTTTATTGTGCATTGGACCAAAAAATATTTTTTTTTCCATTTGGCGGTATCAATATCTGGATTTTTGATGATAGTGCCCTTCTGCACAGTCTAATTTTGTATTACCTCCGGAATAAGGGTTACCTTATCATGACCTTTTATCTCTGAAAAATTCAGCTTGTGACAAAGGGAGGTAAATCGTTTTCTAGAGGGAATATTTTAATACATACACTCTACTAATAATAATTGATTAAGAGTAGAAAAGCGTCCATAGTTTAGCAATACATTCCCTTCTATATCACATAATATGTCCTCGATACAAAAAGTCAAAGTAACAAAAACAGGAGGCCAATGTAAACAAACAATAAACGGTCTCATGACATTTTATATTTTTAAATATACTAGGTTTTTAAAAAATATTTTCTATACCTGTTATTTTTTATATTCAAGCGGATTTATAATATTTAAACTTGAAGTAGCCATGTGTGAGTTAGTTAAATGAAAAGGTACCTTTGGTTTTATAATATGTAGCGATCAGATATAATGTTTCAGCATATTATTATTATTTATATTTTAACAAAAATTATTTTTATTGTTTGAATAATCTATTATAATGAGGTACAGCTTCTAGAAAAAAATCATAAAAAACCCGTACTGTTAAACTCACCATTTATTTGGCATTCTGTCCCGTACTTCCATGTCTCTTTTAGCTCTGCTGTCAACTAGTTCTGGTAAGGCATATTGCATATAATAATTTTGAATTTTATTTTGCACCTTTCCTTCCCAAAAGCTGTCATTATGAGGAATTTCCTCCACTTTTATTTGTCGAGGAGTCCAAACGCACAAAATGCAAAAAATTGTGTAATGTGCAGCTAGCCCTGAATTTGAAAGTACCGATTGTGGTTCCCCTTAATGGTATTATATAAACTTTAAAAGTGGGGTACTACGAAAACCTTGCATGCTCTGCTCTAAAGCCAAGTAAATACTCATCTTAAATACTAATGGCGAGTTGTACAATATGCGGTTAAAATTAAACCTTTTTTTAACTGTTTTGTAGGTACTATGTTTCTACAAAGAGAGTCACAATTTAAAAAAAGGTATATTAAACAATTCTACTTTAAAATATTTCAATACTCCTTTTTTATTTTTGTGCTGGCTGTGAAGGGGAGGGATAGTCCTATAAAAACATGATATTTAAAGGGAGCGACTAGGGAGAAAAACAAAAAATCACAGAATCAATTGATTGTTTTATAAATAATTATCTCAAACTAATAAAATTGTTTTATTTTGTATCAAGTATACTAATACTTAATCATTAGTCAAAAAGTACAAATACAACTAACTTTATACAATAAAATTAACTAAATAATTATAAGTTTATTAATTCGGGAACAGCTCCTCGTAAGTGAACGTTTTACAAATAATATTAGCGATATCAGTAAACTTATCAGATAAAGACGCCTCCAAGTTTGGTTTTATTTCTCCTATAAAGATATCAGAGTTTTCGTTGACGACTTCATTGGTCGCCTTGCCCAGACCTCCGTTACCTTGAAATAGATTTCCCAAATGCAGTTTTGAATGTCCTACCTGTAAGAGGATGCCTATTTTTCTGAAATGAAGATGGTTTTCTCCATTCGTTTTTGAAACTTTTCCTTTCAATAGTACTTGCATGTTCATGTCAGCTGAAATATTAAATTAACTTAACATTCATAGATTTTATTCAGTAAAAAAAGTAGATCGATGATTATATCCATGGATTCGCAATGACAGTCAATCACAGAATTAATATAGTGTCCTTATGCAGAGTCCTGCAACACTGGCGCGGCCTTTCAAAGCTGGCATTCCATAGAAATTATAGATTTAAAAAATGAGTTTAATTGAGACTATACCATAATTTCAAATGAGCCACCATGTATTTTTTTTATAAATTAGCAATTTGACCCGCAACATTTTTTAAAATCTACCTTTTGGTAATTTTAGAATATTGATAAAAGTACAACGGTCGTTTAAAAACACAACTGCATGTATAATGGGAAAATGAAAGACAATTTTACTAACTTGTGAATTTTGAAATTACTAGTTTGGTTTTTCTTTTATTAATTAGTTTGTGGGTTAAAAAATTTTGAATATTTTTTGAAAATGAATTTTTGACAAAAAAAATAAATATACATGCTTAGATGTAAAAATTCTTATGTAGTTATGTATTGTGACGAAGTCACTAAATTTTAATAAATTATAAAAATTTATATTTTAGTTAATTTCCGCCGGAGAACGTTTCAAAGCGCCCCCTTCCCCCCGTATTTTGGTTTCCTAGTAATTCCCGGTTTTGAACATCTGAGAGAGTCTTCGTATTTGAAATATTCTCGCTTGTACGGTAATTGATAATCGGATTAAAAAATTCTATCTAGGTTGATTTATCAAGGTGTCCGAAGGATATTTTTTTATTCCATCTGAAGTAAACAGTCTAAAACTGGAGATGGCTCCTCCTACTCGGAAATTGTGCAGACGTCGAGGTTTCTACTGAAAGGGCATAAATAGGATGAAGAAACTATTTTGTCTGGAGAAAAATGCGTCCGTTTTAGCATTATTATTATTATTATTATTATTATTATTATTATTATTATTATTATTATTATTATAATTATTATTATTATTATTATTATTATTATTATTATTATTATTATTATTATTATTATTATTATTATTATTATTATTATTATTATTATTATTATTATTATTATTAATATTAATTTGAATGGAAACACCGAGCATACAAATGATTTGTGTAATATATTTGGTATGTATGGACTGAACCATTACATTCATGTTCCTACCAGAATCACATCTAACTCACGATCATGTCTAGACAATGTCATAACAAATGTAAGTCCTTCTGACCTGCTCACGGGCGTTCTTGATCCCGACTTATCGGATCACTCTGGTGTATATATGTTTTTAAATAGTGATAAAAGTATACGTGATACAAAATACGAGACAAAGAGAGTAGTAAATAAAAATAAAATTTGTCAATTTGCAAAAAATTTAAGTGAAATAATTTGGCATGATTATGAATTAGATATACTAAACTCTGATGAAACTTCGGCACAAATATTGGAAGTACTGCGCGCTGGAGTTGATCTGTGTTTCCCAATAAAAAGCTGTAAAATAAGACATTTAAAAAGTAATGAGTGGTTCAATAAAGAACTAAAGAAACAACGTAAAGAAGTTTTAAAAAATAAATCTGAATTTCTAAAAACAAATTCTTTTAATGACTGGCTAACTTATCGCGATACACAAAAAAAATACAAGCAGGCTATTCGAAAAGAAAAACGAAGAACATGCGAAAGAAAAATAGCAGAATCTGAAAATAAAACCAAAACGATCTGGAAGTTAGTGAATGACGAAAGGAAACATACAAAAATACAGAAGAATAGCAACTTAAGCGCGGAAACTTTCAATTCCTTTTTTGTCACAATATCGGAAAAAGTTATTAGTACAGTTGATGAGAATTTAATAAATCCAAATGTTTATTTAAATAAAATTCGGAAACCGTTGGGTTCATTTTTTATGACAACAATCCTAGAATCGGACACCAAGGAAGCCATTTTGCATTTAAAAAATTCAAATTGCTTAGATTATTACGGATTAAGTGGTCCAATGTTCAAAGCTGCTTTAGTATCGTTAGTTGAACCACTCACTATTTTATTTAATAAGTGTACCCTAGAGGGCAACTGCCTAATGTTTTAAAAATCAGTAAAGTGTTACCACTACATAAGAAAGACGATATTAACGAACCTAATAACTACAGGCCAATTACCATTGTACCTCTTGTTGGAAAAGTATTTGAAATTATTTTAAAAGAAAAGTTGGTAAGTTATCTTGAAAACAAAAACATAATTTCAACACAGCAATTTGGTTTCCGAAAACACAGATCTACAATAGATGCGTTGTTGACAGTAATAGAAAGCATAGTTGAGGGTCTTGATCAGGGCACAAACGCAACGGCAACGTTGTGTGACTTGACCAAGGCCTTTGACTGTGTAAATATAAACATTCTATTGGAAAAATTAGAATTCTACGGAATTAGGGGAAAGGAACTAAATTTATTTTCATCTTACTTAACTAACAGAATACAATATGTGAATTATCAAAATATTGATTCTAAGCTAGCTCCAGTCATCAGAGGAGTTCCGCAGGGATCAGTCCTGGGTCCAGTGCTTTTTCTAATATACGTTAATGACTTACCTTCCAATATAGTTAATGGCAATACGGTTCTATTTGCAGATGATACCACTGTAATAACTAAGGACAAATTAAATGCGGAGGTTGATTGCATGAATATTGTAAAAAAATGGTTTGACACTAATAAGCTAAAATTAAACGACACTAAGTCACAAAAAATTACATTTACATCAAGTAAAATAAAAGCTAAGTCTGAGCCGGTTAAACTGTTAGGAATAACATTGGATGCAGGGCTGAACTGGGCGGCGCACATAAATACAATTTGTGCCAAGGTTTCATCACAAGTATTCGCATTAAGACAGATTAGATTTTTAAATGATTATGTATTGAGAACAGCTTATTTTGCATTAGTGCATAGTCACTTGCAATATGGAATCATACTCTGGGGAGATTCAACTACAGCTCACAAAGTTTTCATCTTACAAAAAGCTGCATTACGCATCTTGGATAACGCAGAGTATGATGCTCCTTGCAGATCAATATTTAAAAAGCTCAAGATTCTCCCTGTGCCTTGTATTTATATATTAGAGACATTGTTAGAAATCCATAAAAATAAAAATGAGTTTATTTCTCATGTAAATATACATAACTATAATACAAGGAATGCGGAAAATCTTGTGCTTCCTCCATCACGAATATGTGTGACAAAAAAGAACAAACTCGATCTTGGTCTCTATAATAAACTGATACATTTTCATAAAAATAGAAATGTAAACCTTATGTCAATATATCAGTTTAAAAAATTTGTAAAGGACTTTCTTCTGTCTGAGTGTTTTTATAGCGTAAATGAATATGTCTGTCATTGTAAATAATTTATTTTAATTGTAAATTTTATGCTTTTAAACTTCTGCAGTTGTCATTTTAATGTTATTGACTGCATGTACTATATATTTGACTACAATGTATTTTATTTTAGGTTTTAATAATTTTTATTATATTTGTATAACTGACTAAATGTACAATTCATGTATAAAAAAGGTCAATAAACTAATATCTATTATTATTATTATTATTATTATTATTATTATTATTATTATTATTATTATTATTATTATTATTATTATTATTATTATTATTATTATTATTATTATTATTATTATTATTATTATTATTATTATTATTATTATTATTATTATTATTATTATTATTATTATTATTATTATTATTATTATTATTATTATTATTATTATTATTATTATTATTATTATTATTATTATTATTATTATTATTATTATTATTATTATTATTATTATTATTATTATTATTATTATTATTATTATTATTATTATTATTATTATTATTATTATTATTATTATTATTATTATTATTATTATTATTATTATTATTATTATTATTATTATTATTATTATTATTATTATTATTATTATTATTATTATTATTATTATTATTATTATTATTATTATTATTATTATTGTTGTTTTGTTTTTTTTTTGTCATCAGCTTCAACTGCTAAGGTTATTTCGCCTCGTGTTCTGTGTAGGCTTTGTTACTGTTTCCCAGCGCCACTTTAGGAACAGCACTGTTAATTAGAACCCAACAGTGAATTATTAATATTATTATTATTATTATTAATATTATTATTATTATTATTATTATTATTATTATTATTATTATTATTATTATTATTATTATTATTATTATTATTATTATTATTATTATTATTATTATTATTATTATTATTATTATTATTATTATTATTATTATTATTATTATTATTATTATTATTATTATTATTATTATTATTATTATTATTATTATTATTATTATTATTATTATTATTATTATTATTATTATTATTTATTATATTATTATTATTATTATTATTATTATTATTATTATTATTATTATTATTATTATTATTATTATTATTATTATTATTATTATTATTATTATTATTATTATTATTATTATTATTATTATTATTATTATTATTATTATTATTATTATTATTATTATTATTATTATTATTATTATTATTATTATTATTATTATTATTATTATTATTATTATTATTATTATTATTATTATTATTATTATTATTATTATTATTAATATTATTATTATTATTATTATTATTATTATTATTATTATTATTATTATTATTATTATTATTATTATTATTATTATTATTATTATTATTATTATTATTATTATTATTATTATTATTATTATTATTATTATTATTATTATTATTATTATTATTATTATTATTATTATTATTATTATTATTATTATTATTATTATTATTATTATTATTATTATTATTATTATTATTATTATTATTATTATTATTATTATTATTATTATTATTATTATTATTATTATTATTATTATTATTATTATTATTATTATTATTATTATTATTATTATTATTATTATTATTATTATTATTATTATTATTATTATTATTATTA